ATTTTCTTTTTTATTTACACAAGGATTGGTGTAAATGAAATAAATTGGTTGTTTACAACAAATATGCAAGAAAACTTGGGTTTGTGGTTATCTAACAACAAATATTTGCTTCACTAAATTCAAATTTTGGCCCTGCTGATTTGTTTTCTGTGTCCTTGCCATTTTACTGCCAAATCATAGTATAATCTTTTTGAGGCTGTGTTAAGTAGGATCAGCAGCATAGGCCGGGCTCCCCTGAACAGCTTCTACGCTGGACTCACCTGGGATCACCCCTGGGACTAGGATTATCTGAGAGTTCTGTAGGGAGGAAAAACAATTTTTCCTCTACTCTTCATAGTTTTTGGGTGGGCCCCCAGTAATAAAAGACAGACTGACAAGAGACAGACAGACATTTATGAACACATATGCCTCATGTAAACACACACAAGAGATACCAGGGGAAAATGAGTAACTCTCAAAGAGGCAGCTTAGAACTCAGGCTTACATACCATCTTCAGCTCGAAGGAAAAAGGGTGTAGGGGAAGGCAAGTTATGGGAAGGTGACTAGGAACAGCACAGTAAGCAAGGACAAGATTCATTAGATATCTTCTCCAAAGAAAAGTGTCTATTGATTTAATCCTTGTCTTCCCATGTGCGGGAGATGAGGGAGACAAGTTTTCCTTATAAAAGGGTAACTTCTGGCCCTGTAATCCTAGCACTCTGGAAGGCTGAGGCAGGAGGATCACTTGAGCTCAGGAGTTTGAGACCAGCCTGAGCAAGAGCAAGACCCTATCTCTACAAAAAATAGAAAAATTAGCCAGGTGTGGTGGCATGTGCCTGCAGTTCCAGCTACTCGGGAGGTTGAGGCAGGAGGATCACCTGAGTCCAGGAGTTTGAGCTTGCAGTGAGCTATGATGACACCACTGCACTCTAGCCGGTATGGTGGGGGGGGGGGGGCACAAGGGGTGACTTCTACTCTGTTTCCAGAGCTTCTCCTGTGTCTGCTGTTTCTCAAAATAATCCTTATGCAAAAGAGGGTGGCATATGCTGGTCTCCTACAGTTCCAAGATGGCCTCACTGACATGTCTGTCAGTTGGCACTGGCTGTCTACTGGGTCCCTCAATTCTCCTCCAGATGGCCTCTCATCCTTTATGCTGGAGGGGGCTTCTTCATACAATGGTGGACACATTCCTGAAAAGCAAACCCCAGCATGAAAGGGCTTATCAAGCCTCTGTTTGCAACACATTTGCTGATAGCCCTTAGGGTGGCCAAGCCCAGCATTAACAGAAGAGGGGGCTGCCCAAGGGCACAACTACTCAGAGCTGATTTACTTGAGGCCACTAATGACACAATGTACCATACGAATGCTAGGAAAATAAAAATCCCATCCCTTCCTTCTTTGGGTAATGCATACTTACAGTTAGAAAAGGAAATCCCAGCAAGGGAGTTTATGTCTCTCATTAGACATTATAAAAGCCTTTTTAGAGAAACAGTATAATATACAACTATGAACTAATTCTTGGTACATCCATTTGGTTTTCTGGTGTTTTCATTTGCTTGTTTGTTTGTCTAAGGGACAGAATCTTGCTTTGTTGCCCAGGCTGGAATGCAGTGGCTCAATCATAGCTCACTGTTACCTCAAATTCCTGGTCTCAAGGGATCCTCCTGTCTTAGCCTCCCCAGTAGCTGGGACTACAGGTGTGCAACACCATGCCTGGATAACTTATATTTTTATTTTTTGTATAGATGGAGTCTTGCTATGTTGCCTAGGCTGGTCTCAAACTCCTGAGCTCAATGGATCCTCTCACCTCAGCCTCCCAAAGTACTGGGACACAGGTGTGAGCTGCTGTGCCTTGCCTGTTTTTTTTTCCCCTTTAATATTAAAAAAAAAAAATCCCCTTTATTTTGGTACTCTGAATTTCAAGAATAAAGATGCAAAAGCTCATCTTGCCATTTTTTCAATTTCTGCAGAAGCTGTCCCTTTTGCCTATTCTCTGCTATTAGAAGGGACTCTGGTTAAACCAAGTATGCATAAAACAAGTTTCCTTTCAGTGGGTCTACCAATGCAGGTGTCTCATCACAGTCCACATTCTGCTGAGAAGGTGGAAAGGGATGGATCCTTACTGACGCAAGCTTCTGGCAGGGGTGGGCTCAAGAACATTGGGGGAGTAGATACATCTCAGGAAGTTCAAGCAGCCCCTGCCTAGGTTCTGGCAGGCATCTCAAGTCTAATATATTGATAACTGAACTTGTGATAAACTATCACCTTCCCCCCATCATGCTGCTCTCCTAGTTTCTTCCTTTTCAGCAAATGGAACCACTATCCATGCAGCTACTCAAGCCAAGATCCTAGCGGTAACGCTTGATTCTTCCTGTCTCCCTCACTACCATCCACAAGAGCTATCATTTCATCTCCAAAGTGCACCTCAAAGTTCTTCCCCCTGTCTCATATACAGTCCCCACCCTGGGATGGACCTCCAGTCTCTCTTCCAGGGCAACTACAATGGTTCCCTAACAGCTGCTGCCCTTGTCCGCAGGGCAGCCCGAGTGACTTTCTAAAGACAAAACGGACAATGCCAGTACCATTCTCAAAATCCTTTTGTTGCTTGCCAACATAGTTTTAATAAAATCCAAATTCTTTACAGTGACCTAAAATGCCTGTGGGAATTATTCAAGATTACTATGATAACCCATGCATTCTCAGTAGGGGGATAGTACAGCCCCCAAGGAAATGAAAATCAGTTCTGGAGGGGAGGAGAGGGGATGAAAAAAAATCTTACTCTTTCCAATGTATAAATAACAGAGTATATACGAGCTCTATGGAAGTATAATAAAGCTTGTGTGGGGATGATTAGAAAAACAGAGTGTAAGTGAAGGGTGAGAAACTAACCTAACTTTATCTCAGGCTCCTCTTTCCCTTATTTACTAGACCAGTGCCACACAGTATAGTAGCCCCTGGTGACATGTGAATACTGAATCCTAGACATGGACCTATTGTAAAGGAGAAAGCAAAGTTTTAATTTTAATTAAGATTTTGATTTCAATAGCCACATATGGCTAGCAGCCACCAAATCACACAGCACAGCTCTAGACACTGATGGGCCTCCTTCTGATTCAAGGAAACCAAGCCCTTTGCACATGCTAACTGTATCTGTCAGGATACTTTTGCTACAAATTACAAAAATTCAGAGCAGATTAAACGTAAGTCCAGATGAGAGAGAACCCAGGGTTGGCTAATTCAACAATGCAACGCCCTTATCACAGATCCAGGTTCCTTCCCTCTGCCTTCACTGCCATCCCTGAAGTCTCCACACTGTCCTCCGGCTGTCCCCCTAATCACCACAAGACAGCTGCCACAGTGCCAGGCATCACATCTAAACCTAATGCTCAGACTGCAGCTGTTTCTTGTTTTTCCTTTTAAAAATGAGAAAAACTTCTCCTCACATCTCAGTAGCTAGAATTTTATCTTATGTTTCTATCTAAATCAATCACTAGCAAGAAGAACAGGACCACTACAGGCTCGCATCCTGCAAGAGCCATTCCCTGGAGCTGGATAGAGTGTGGGTCTCCAAAGCATATGGCTGGGAGAGTGGATAAGTCAGGGCCCTGTAGGAAAGTGAAGACTTGCACACCTGGTGCTGGGGGACGGGGTGGGGGCGGCGGAGTGTGAAAAGACAATGTGACCCTCTGTTCCAGGTAGAACTAAACTGAACCAGCTGGGAATTGCCCTGTGCTAGTGGTTTCCAGAGTATGGCAGCAGCAGTATCAGCATTACCCAGAAACTATTTCAGAGAACTGAAAATCTTCAGGTCCTGCCCCAGACCTATGGAATCAAACTCTGGGGATGGTGCCCAAGAATCTGTGTTTTAACAGGCCTTCTAGGGCCTTCTAGGATTCTGATAAACCCGAGTTTAAAAAACATTGCCCCATTCCAGTGGTTCTCATCTGGGGGACAGTTTTGCTCCCAGTGTATATCTGGCAATGTCTGGAGACATTTTGGTTGTCACATCTGGAGTGCAGGGTGCTACTGGCATCTAGTGGTAAAGGTCAGGACGTTGTGAAAGACAGTCCCCCACAACAAATGAGTGACAAGCCCCAAATGGCAAGAGGGCTGAGGTTGAGAAACCCTCCTCCACAGCATGGGGCAAAGGAAGCTCCTTTACAGTGGCTGTAGCCTACCTGGCTCTCCACGTGGGAGTCTTTGAGCCTGGCTAGCGCAAGGATTAGCATCTGTCAGGCACCTTCAGAGCAGAAGAGGAATGTCAAATTCCTTCTGCCCACAGTCTGATCAACTCTCCTTCTAAGCAGTAAGTCCTCTGGCCTTGAACTCAGAACAGTTTTAGAGGTCTCACTTAGTATCCATCCATGGAAATGCATATAAAACAGGACACAATACTCCCCTTCAAGACCAAAAAAATTTTTTTAATAAAGGAGCGCAGTAGTAATTTCAGAATTGGCTTTTATGAGGACCTAGTCCCTCCACCTTAGAAAGTCGACAGGGTATTTGGATCAAGCACACTTTTTTCCTGCTTAGGAATCTTTCTGTTCAAATGAGTCTCTGGTCACATCTAACACTCTCATAGGGTCAGGAAATGGACAAACAGCTAGTGCTAATCTACATTTTCTAGACAAGACACAAGCAAGAAACCTTGCATTATCAGTGGATACAATTTCTCCCCATGAGAGTTTGAAGTTAGAGGAAAGCAGCAAATCATATCAGAGTAGCTAATGCTGCAATCAGTTCAGCTCAAGCCGCCTCATGAAACCTATTTTCAAATGTCTTACAGTGCAGCTTGTTCTACCACAACAGCCATGTGAACTCTTCTAGCACTTACTTAATATAACACACTTCCAGGGACAGATGTGCCAGTAAAGTTTATTTACATAATGTTCTGTCATGTCAACCACATTTAAGTTCTGGAAGTTAGTATTTACATACAGAATCCAGTATATTCCTGGAAGAATTACTTTTCTCCTCTTTGGATACAATTAATACGAAAGTTGGGGAGCTTAACGAATACCTTGCCTCACTTTGGGGTCTCATCTGGGATTTTAGAGTAAACTGTATCCAGAGGCTGCCAGTGGCAATTCATGAGGGAGTCGTAGAGTTCTTCACTTTTTGCCATAAACTCTTGGTTTGATTCCTCAATATTCAAATGAAGACTTGGATCTGCAAAAGCCAATAATTGATATAAAAAAAAATAGAATTTTATAGGACACATACTAGAAATGGCTTAAAATTAGAACATTTTTAAAAAGCATTAGCAGGGAGTATTGCAGACATTAAAGGTTAAAATTCTGAAGTTGTGGCCGGGCGCGGTGGCTCACGCCTGTAATCCTAGCTCTGGGAGGCCGAGGCGGGCGGATTGCTCAAGGTCAGGAGTTCAAAACCAGCCTGAGCAAGAGCGAGACCCATCTCTACTACAAATAGAAAGAAATTAATTGGCCAACTGATATATATATAAAAAAATTAGCCGGGCATGGTGGCGCATGCCTGTAGTCCCAGCTACTCGGGAGGCTGAGGCAGAAGGATCGCTTGAGTCCAGGAGTTTGAGGTTGCTGTGAGCTAGGCTGACACCACGGCACTCACTCTAGCCTGGACAAGAAAGTGAGACTCTGTCTCAAAAAAAAAAAAAAAAAAAAATTCTGAAGTTGTGTGCTTCCTTTCAGTAGATTTGAAAATAGAAATTTAAGCTGTAACAGTAGTATTACCAGACTCAATGAGCATCTAGCTGGCAGAGGAGACAGAGTCAAGAGATGCTCAATTTTAATCCTAATCACCACCATAAAGACCCACCTCCTAAGACTAGCACAGGAGGTTAGGGTTTCAACATATGAAATTGGGTGGGGGAACACAAGCATTCAGTCTGTCATAATGGGATTTTTAAAATATGTTTTTCAAATACTTCACTATTAGTGCATAGGAACAACAGAGTTTTGCACGTTAATTTTGCATCCTTCAATGTTACTAAATTTGTTTATTAGATCTAACAGTGTTTGATGGAGTCTGTGGGGCTTTCTATACAGGCATGCCTTGGAGATATTGCAAGTTCAGTTCCTAACTACTGCAATAAAGTGAATACTGCAATACAAGTTACACAAATTTTTTGGTTTCCTAGTACATATAGAAGTTATATTTACATTATACTGTAAGTCTATTAAGTGTGTGGTAGATTATTAAGGTATATAAAACGGGTACATACCTTAACAATACTTTACTGCTAAAGAATGTTAATTAAATAAGTATGGGCTGTTAGAAAAATGGCACTCAAAGATTTGCTTGACACAGGGTTGCCACAAACCTTCAATTTGGGAAAGACACAGTATCTGTGAAGCACAATAAAACAAGATATGCCTGTATATAAGATCATGTCATCTGCAAATAGGGATAATCTTATTTCTTTCTTTTGCTTAACTACTCTAGCTAGGACTTCTAGTACTATATTGAATAGAAGTAGTGAAAGTGGGCGTCTTGTCTTGTTCCAGATCACAAAAGAAAAGCTTTCAACTTTTCCCCACTATGTTAGCTGTAGGTTTGTCACATATGGCCTTTGTGTTGAGGCACATTCCTTTTATACTTAACTTCTTGAGAGTTTTTATCACAAAGTGATGTTGAATTTTGTCAAATGCTCTCTCTGTATCTATTGAAATGATCACATTTTTGTCCTTCATTCTGTTAATGTGATATATCACATTTATTGATTTGCATATGTTAAACCATCCATGCATCCCTGGGATGAATTCCACTTGATCAAGGTGGATGATTTGTTTTTTGGTTTTTTTGAGACAGAGTCTCACTCTATTGCCCAGGCTAGAGTGCCATGGCATCAGCCTAGCTCACAGCAACCTCAAACTCCTGGGTGCAAGCAATCTCCTGCCTCAGTCTCCCAAGTAGCCAGAACTATAGGCATATGCCATCATACCTGGCTAATTTTTCTATTTTTTTGTAGAGATGGGGGTCTCACCCTTGCTCAGGCTGGTCTCCAACTCTGGACCTCAAGTGATCCTCCCTCCTTGGCATCCCAGAGTGCTAGGATTACAGGCGAGAGCACTGCGCATAGGTTGGATGATCTTTGTAATGTGCTATTGAATTTAGTTTGCCAGTTATTTTGTTGAGGACTTTTGCATCTATCAGGAATGGTCATCAGGGCTATTGACTATAGTTTTTTGTTGTGTCCTTGTCTGGCTTTGTAGAATGAGTTTGGGAGTATTCCCTTCTCTTCAATGTTTTTGAATAGTTGGAGAAGAATTGACATTACTGCTTCTTTCAAGGTTGGTAGAATTCAGTAAAGTTATCACGTATAGTCCTGGGCTTTTCTTTGATGGGATACTTACTACTGATTCAATTTCCTTACTTAATTTCTTTATTAGTCTCTTCAAATTTTCTATTTCTTCATAATTCAGTTTTGGTAGGTGGTAGGTTATATGTACCAAGGAATTTATCCATTTCTTCTATGTTATCCAATTTGTTGCTGTATAATTATTCATAAATCTCTTATGATCTTTTGTAATTTCTGTGGTATCAGTTATGTCTCCTTTTTCATCTGATTTTCAGTTTTTTTCCTTAGCCTAGCTAAATGTTTGTCAATTTTATGTTTTAAAAAAACCAACTCTGTTTTGTTGATCTTTTGTATTGTTTTTCTAGTCTATTTATTTCTTCTCTGATCTTTATTTCCTTCCTTCTATAACAATTTTGAGTTGAGTTTGTTCCTGTTCTTCTAGTTCCTTGAGGTGCGATTGTGTTACATTTCTAACTGGCCAGTACTATGCCAGATCTATGATTAGCCAATGCTTGAGTGGTTATTATGTGCCAGAAGCTGTTAGAACACTTAAAAGCATTTTAGATCTATCATGCTCACCTTTACTACAAGGTAGGAATTAATGTCTTCACTTTACAGAAAGTGAAGTAGCCACATTAGAGAGTAATTTGTCTGGAATAACAGAGTTGGTAAGTGGCATTTAAATCCTGGTGGTCTGGATCCAGAAAGCACACTCTTATTGTATGTTTTTCTCCATTAATTTTTAGAGATTATCTGCATAACTAATGAAGGCAGGAAGAGTAGACTTACACTTTAACCACGCAGAAATCTAAGAGCTGAAAATAAGCACCCTTTATTCATATCTAAAAAAGTAATAAAACTAGAACTGCTTAAAGTATTTAAAGACTTCTTTTAAACAATTTTATTTAATTTAAAGATTGAGCACCAACATGCAAACTCTGCATTGGTTACCAGAGCTACAAAAACTGGTAACAACATGCTCTCTTCTTTGATAAAGCCACAAAGGCAGCAAGTAGGTTTGTCTGGTGGGGGTGTGCGGAGGAGAAGACCAGATGGACACGTGATCAGACAGACATGTGACAAGAAACACACAATGGTGTTCCCTGCATCTCTCCTCTATTTTTCTTTCCCATTACTTAAAAGCAGCAAAACACTCCCCCCCCCCCTTTCTCATACGAGACATTTAAAAGCAGTATTCTTCTTTGGGCAGATAAACTTTGTCCTTTTCAAAACAGATCAACGGCTAATGGAAGCGGAGCACACTGTGTGGAGGAAGGACGTGCTTGTAGCCCTGGCCTGGGAGAGGCAAAAGCATTACATGTAACCAAAATGTTTGTGCCCCCATAATATCCTGCATTAAAAAAAAAAAAAAGAATTAGGGAAGCACTGCCATCCTGACTCTACAGAGCAGGCCTATCAGGCCCCCCAGGAACCAATAACCCTCAGGGCAGCTAGGAAGCCAAAGCTACAGCAGTCACCTGTGCTCTTCCTCCTTAAAAAAACAAAATTAAAACATAATTAATCTCAAAGTCTAAACTTACAGAGGAAACGATCTTAACTACTTACCGTCTTCTTACTGTTTGGAATGTCCACATTTCCCGGCACACCAGAAAGGCCCAGAGAGGTGTCTTAGCAATTTCCAAAAACAGTTTACATTACTAAAAAGAATGGCTTAGGCAACCTATGTTGGAATTTTCTAGTAGGATCGCTCAGTTTCTAGCAAGCTGAGTGAACAAGGAATCTGGAAATAGGGTTATGCTTTGTTTTCAACCGAGGCACAAGGTTTACATTTACCTTCTAGCGGGTCTTCATCTTGGTTTTCAGCCAGAGCTGTGGTTTCCTACAACAAAAAAAATCACTATCTTAAGAGAAAATTTCACTTAAGAGAAAACTTTTACGTAAAGGTTTAATATCAATATACACTTTCTTGGGAAAAAACTCTAGCTCTAAAAAAAAAACTTAGAACAACACCAAAAAAATCTAAAATGATATTCCTTTAATTTGTTTTGAATTTTGATTAAAAGAATCTTTAGATGAAATAAACACCACAGTTATGAAATGAGTGAACTGAGCCAACAGAAGAAAAGTCGTAAAGGAGGAACAAGCCCAACAAAGGCCTCTGGCCTCTCTGAAGCTTCCTGGAAGTAAGTGGTGTCCTAGGGCCCAGGCTAGGACCAGACACCGGGACTCTGGCATCTAGACCCTCGTCTCCTGCACTAGATGCCTACCGCTCTACCTGGAGTTCTGCCCTTCCTTCCAGAAGACAATCTGCAGTCTCCATGAACGCATTTTCCTCATGGCCTTCTAATCACAACCACAACCCTATGGCTTAGCTAAGGACTAGGATATTAGATGCCAGTGAAATGCATAGGCTACAGAAAAGTAGACCAATCAATTGTATTCTTACATAATGAGAGATGCAAATTCCAGAAGCACTCCCAAAATCAATTTTAGTTGGTTAACCCAGACTCTGTCAGCTCTACTGGGGAAGCGTACATTTTATGACTCCTTTTCATATACACCTGTTGGGAACCTGCCTTAAGCATGTACAGCTGTTCGAAGGAGGCACCCTATCTGGGAGGCTCCTGGCACCAGTGAACTTAATGAAGCCTCTATTGCTAATAAGAATGAGATGATATTGAGAGCCAAAGATCCACTATCTCTTCTTTTTAGTCTATCTGAAAGTAAGCCTCCCCTTCACTCTGAAATCTGTCCTGGTTTGGAACATAAATTACATAGTTACCATAAATTTAATCATACCTTTAAATTTGATGATGTCTTTTTTCTATTTACAAATGGCTATGACAGTCAGAATCTGTGTTTGGGGGAAGGCCTGTCCATAAAAAGTCCAAATAACCTCACATTTCTTCCTTTTCTATGTGTGCTCTGGTAAACATATATCCTAAATGACCAGAGTAGGGGAAAGCAGAAACTATCTAGAAAGAGCATTCTTTCTGGTCTCAGAGCCACCTGGGCAGCATATGCAGCTGGTTGTCCTAAAAGAAAGGCACATCTATGAAACATGTGCCTCTCCTCATGAGAACATGGGAAAGTTGTGCCGATGGACCACAAAGACCTGAGCATCATCTTGAAGACATCCACTTCCTCTAATCTTAAGCAAGTCACAATGTCAAAATGTAAAGGAGGGGACTCTTGGGGGGGTCTAACTCCTTAAGTTGGGGAGATAAGGAACAGGGACAGAGGCATGGCACATTGAGGGAAGCAAGAAATAAAGCGATGATATCTCAAGGAGGACACACTTTATTAGAGAAGACGGAAATGAGGATGTATGAGCAAAAGAGACCCCCACCATGGAGCCCTACCATCTTTAATTTCGCTGAGCAACTTCCAAACAGGGAACACCCACCAGGATAGCAGGCAGATGGCACAGTGTGGTTACCACACCCACTAAAGGGAATATATTTATAATTCTTGAGTCAAAAAATTCATGCTATAGTCATAACTTGACTAGAGAGTGAGATAAAAATCCCAGAATGTGACAACTGGAATAGAGGAATGGAGGGAAGAGGTGGCTGGCAAGAAAAAAGGATGTTAATGTCTTAATTTTCTCATGAGTGATAGGAAATCAAGATATACTTTTATTTCTGAAGTTGATAATATACTCATACCTATACTTCAACCACCACAGAACAAATAGACCACCTCCCAAAAAAGAGCAAAAAAAGGAAGGGGTGAAAGGAAGAAGTGTGCTGAAACCTTAGGCAATATATTAATAGCAAAAGGTTTTTAAAAAGTGGTGCAATATCAAACATCTGCTAAAAGGGAAAAACCCAAATTAGGCTAAAAGGAAGAAAAAAAAAGAAATCTAACAAAATATTTTATGCGAGAGGCACACCTAAAACAGACTTAAAAATTTGAGAATGAAAGTTTGGGCAATAAAATATTAAATAATTGTAAGTTATAAAGACCAGCCCGGGTACAGTGGCTCACACCTGTAATCCCAGCACTCTGGGAGGCCAAGGTGGGAGCATCGCTTGAGACCAGGAGTTTGAGACTGGTGTGGGCAACATAGCAATATAAAGAAAGATTAGCCAGGCATGGTGGTGCATGCCTATAGTCCCAGCTACTACAGAGGCTGAGGCTGGAGGATCACTTGAGCCCAGGAGTTTCAGGCTACAGTGAGCTACGATTGCACCACTGCGCTCCAGCCTGGGTAACAGAGCAAGAAGACCTAGTCTCAATCAATCAATAAGTCAAAAATTTTTAAAAAGTAAAGACCAAGGATCTAGCTATTAAATTCAACTTTCGTTTTAAGGCAAAGGCCATTACACAAAGTGTCACTATGCATATTAGGACACAAACTGTTGGGGGCAGGGCATCCGTAATGTTTTGATTGCAAGTGCTCATTTCCCTAATACGTCAATATCTTATTCAGTCAAGCAAAATGGACATGATCCAACAGAAAAAAAGTAGACAAAGGACAAAGTCACAAAACACAAACACCAACGAACATTTTAAAAGATATTTGCCTTCAATAATAGACAATTGTCTCCTGTGCCTATCAGATTGGCTAATCATACACAGAAGAATGTACAGCAGCAGACACATCCACCATAGTAATGAAAAGTGTAAATCATGCAGGCTCTTTTTAATTTGCTTCTTAAAATCTGTAATGTTATATTTTAACCTGCCCTTCCACATCCAGAAATTTATTCTTAGCAAAAAACAAAAACACTCAGATAGATGCCGGAAGTTAAAGCACTGAAAACATTTAAAATGTCAGATAAATGATGTGCTAAGAATCACAGCACATCTAAATGGGAAATTTTTAAAGAAAGCTCTCTTTATACAACAGAAGCAAGCAAAGAGCAAACCTGTATATACCGTCCATTCTCACCTAAAGCACCCTCCAACTCCTAAACAGAAACAAAGCCCAACCACACTGATTTTTTTAGCAAGAGTACAGGAGAAAGACAAGAAGACACAGATCTACTTCAACAGGGCTTCCTTCTGAGTGGGGAGGGAAAGGGGAAGAGGGAGGGCAAGGGGGAGGTTTTCCTTTACTCCAATACATCTTTGTGTGGTTTTAGAAACATGTCACTTTAGGCCCAGTGTGGTGGCTCACGCCTGTAATCCTAGCACTCTGGGAGGCTGAGGCAGGCGGATTGCTCTAGGTCAGGAGTTTGAAAACAGCCTGAGTAAGAGCGAGACCCGTCTCTACTATAAATAGAAATTAATTGGCCAACTAATATATATAGAAAAAATTAGCCGAGCATGGTGGCGCATGCCTGCAGTCCCAGCTACTCAGGAGGCTGAGGCAGCAGGAATGCTTGAGCCCAGGAGTTTGAGGTTGCTGTGAGCTAGGCTGACGCCACGGCACTCACTCTAGCATGAGCAACAAAGCAAGACTCTGTCAAAAAAAAAAAAAAGAAAAAAGAAATATGTCACTTTAGTAATCAAAGTATTAACACATTTTTTTTTACATCTGATAAAGGGCTAATAATCAAAATCTATAAAGAACTCAAGTAAATGAGCAAGAAAACATCAAACAACCCCATTAAAAAGTGGGCAAAATACATAAACAGAAACTTTTCAAAAGATAGACTAATGGCCAATAAACATATGAAAAAAATGCTCATTTCTAATCATCAGGGAAATGCAAATCAAAACCACAATGAGATATCACTTAACTCCAGTCAGAATGGCTTTTATGAAAAGTCCCAAAACAATAGATGCTGGTGTGCATGTGGAGAGAAAGGAACACTCTTACACTGCTAGTGGGACTGCAAACTAGTTCAACCTCTATGGAAAGTAGTATGGAGATATCTAAAGAACTATAATTAGAACTACCATTCGATCCAGCAATCCCACTAATGGGTATTTACCCAAAGGGGAAAAAAGCTTTTTCTAAAAAAGACACTTGCACTTGAATGTTTATAGCAGCACAATTCGCAATTGTAAAGATGTGGACACAGCCCAAGTGCCCATCAATACATGAGTGGATTAATAAAATGTGGTATATGTATACCATGAAGTATTACTCAGCCATTAAAAAATGGATGAACTAATACCTTTTGTAACAACCTGGGTAGAACTGGAGACCATCCTCCTAAGTGAAGCATCTCAAGAAAAGCAAACACCACATGTACTCACTATTAAATTGAAACTAAATGATCAACACTCATGTGTACATAGGGAAGTAAAATTCAACAGAAATCAAAGCAAGTGGGAAGGGGGAGAAGGAAACGGGTAAATTCACACCTAATGGGTACAATGCACACTATCTGTGTGATGGACACACTTATAACTTTGACTCAAACTATACAAAAGTAATTATGTAACCAAAACATTTGTACCCCCATAATATTCTAAAATAAAATTTTAAAAAACCAAAAAAAGATACCTTCTTTAAAGTGTGTTTATGTCCTCTACTATATCAAAACAAAACCAAAAACTATCTCCTATCCTAGATTAAGTGTTAAAGTCTATTGAATGATAATAATCTAAAATTTAGTAGCAGGAATTTAGGCAAAGACTTCATCAGTCTTTTGTTTCTGGAAGAGAATGAGGACTTAAATCATTTGCAAGTCAAAATTTCTTAGGTTATGCATAATATCCAAACTCATCAAAATGTATAAATATGTGCAGGCTTTTCTTTTTTGTACATCAATTATACCTCAATAAAGCCGTAATTTTTTTTTTTTCTTTTCTTAGGTCATCAGCTTTATGCTCTGGTATTAAAACAGAGCAAAAGCCATGTGTGGGAATTTGTATGACAGGACGTGAATGTGTAAAGATAGGGAAGTAATGTTTACATTTTTAGGCACATGAATGACACAAGATCCATTTCGGCAAGGGATACCTCAGGCATAACCAAAGTTCCTGCTGGGCGTTGAAGGGTCTCATGTGCTGAAACTCCATTTCCATCCACTGCACAAGTGTAGCTGTAGCCAGAAAGAGGACAAGAGCTGTGTTGCTGCTTGTACCAGTTGCCATAGTGGTAACCCTGGCTGGGCTGGAACTCCGGCTTCACTCTAATAGCAGGGAGAGACCACGAGGACAACCATCATCAACCAACACAAAATTATTCACAAGCTCCCAGACTTTTCTTCATTCCAGGAAGTTTCCAGAAAGGATAATTTCTGCTTTAACTCTCTAAAAACATCTACGTTCAAAGCGATAGTTTATAAGTTGCCAAAACTCATATAATAGAACACTAACAGCTTTCATTTTCATTCAAAGTATGAAAAAAAACCACTCACCTTTGCCACTGGCAGTAATAGTAATTTTGTTGAGCTATGCCAAAACCTGCAAAACTTTCCCGTTGGGCCATTTATCCAGAAACTTTACAAAAGGAGACACCAGAATTCAGTTTTTATTCCTGTGGCAAAATCCCAATTGGTCAGACCTCTCAACCCTGAAAAATACCTCTCCCAACTACCTCTGAGATAGAGTAATTACATTGAGTAGCAATTCCTGCTAGACAATTGATTGCTTCACTTTCTGACAATGAGGGGAAGGTGTGGGTTGGGGCAGGGTTGTACTGGGGTCACCTGGGGGAACTTCTGCAACCTGTTCCTCTGGCTTCCAGCTCCTCCCCAACTGTCAAGCCTAGGCAAGTAGAACTTAGTGGGGGCTGGCTGGGGCGGGGGTGTCAGAAAGGTGGGGTGTGTTGCTCTACTACAAAGGACACAGTTTCCACTGTACTCCCTTACCATAATAGGTAAGAGAGTCACTTTAATAACTAAAACCTTAAGACAAATATCACAATTTGATGTTTCCCTCCTCAGTTATCTGCTAAGAATAACTACTGGAACCACCATGTAGCTTTTTTTAAAAGCCTCTGAAGGTTGAAATCATTATCCCAACTAGCTGCAAAATGAAGAGTCAGGGAAGAAATGTTATATCTCACTTACAAACTTAACATGGGTACAGGGCAAAATTTAAAAAAAATATTTCTGTGGTTCACTTTTATTTTTTAAAGCATGAGAAAGTGGTAGCTTCCCAAACTTTCATGTGCATACAAATTATCTGGATATGTTTAAAATGTAGGTTCTTTGCTTCTGGAAGTTGACCTTAAAGAAAAAAAATAAAAATAAAAAATAAAATGTAGGTTCTGGTCAGGTGTGATGGCTCACACCTGCAATCCCAGTGCTCTGGGAGGCAGAAGCAGGAGGATTCCTTGAGGCCAGAAGTTCAAAACCAGCCTAAGCAACATAGCAAGACCCTTGTCTCTTAAAGGAAAAAGAAAAAAAATTAGCTGGGACTACACACACGTGTAGTCCCAACTTGGGAGGCTGAGGCAGGATTGCTTGACCTGGGAGTTTGGAGCTGCAGTGAGCTATGATCAGGCCACTGCACTCCAGCCTGGGTGACAGAGCAAGACTCTGTCTCTAAATAGATGAAATGTAGGTTCTAACTCAACCTATATCCGAGTGGAGGCCAACGTATCATGTTGAAACCACCCATGAAGATGGCAGAAGCTGGGGACAGAAAGCTGTGAGCAAGGTTCCACGATGAAGATGGACACTGAGGGGCCTTCAGATGACAGTGACAAGGGCTCACAAACATTGTTTTGCTCTATAAAAGCCCCAAACGCAGACCTCTTGTATTTCACCTATATTATTCCCATGAAGCAGGTGAAGGAAATTTATATCAGGGCACTGTCCAGGGGAAGCAGGCCACTATCTGCACTCCCCTTAGCTCTGGAAAATACAATCACATGCAACCCTGTAGTCCTAGAATTTAACAGAGTTACTACTTGTCACATTTAGAAAGGAGGGGAATTTAGCAGGAATATTAGACTTTCACAGTTTTCCTAACAAGACTGATTTTTCTCTGTTGATTCCTGCTTTTAGCCCAGGAGATCCGCTTTACCACCACCACTGCACAAACAGAAAAATGGGCTTTTTCTTTAGCAAACCACATAAAGCCAGGCATTCAATAAATATTTGTTGAATAATGAATAAATCAACACATGGCTCAAGTGCAAAAAGCTTTTCAATGAATAATTTAAAACCAAAACTTAAAAAAAAAAATCGTGTGCTTTGTGTTGATTACTGAACTCTCAATAGTTGGTTGTTTCTCAGCAACTGCGGATTTCACAAGAAAGAGATTAAATGGCCTTTTCCATTTTATGTTTGGAAAGAGAACAGAAGGACTTAACGGAAGTGTGCTCAGTTCTAATCCAGTTGAACAGGTATATAATTCTGTACTATTTTTCTTCAGACAATGAAAACCTGTAACCTGAGCAAGTTCTAAAACTACAGCCATGGGCATGAATAAAATGAAATGCTCTTTCTTCTGTTAAAAACAATGTCCAAGGCCAAGGAAACACACACACACACACACAATAGCAGCAGTACTGGCTCTATTGTCACTTAGCTGTGTGGTCTTGAAAAGTCACTTTTGTGACTTTCTGGACATATTTCAGTATTTATAAAGACTGAATTAGTGCATTTTAACCTTAATGATGTTGAAATCATTTTTTGAAATGTGATTACATCAATGCTCTCCTCCAAAAATTTACATCCACAATTTTGCATGTAATTTCAGGAGATTCAAAACCCCTGAAACCTACCCATGCACCCCAGGATTAATAACACCTGGACTAGATGCTAAGTCCTCTGAGCTCTAATTCCACTAATTTCTAACAATTAAAAAATAAATGTTTATGGTGCTTACATTAGGGTTTTCATTCTAGAACCAACTATATTCTAAAATTCTTAGTTGGATCAAATGCCTTTTTTAAGCCACTTGGTTCCTCTCCCTTAAAAGGTGCCAGATAAGTAGGGAAAAGTGTGACAGTCTGGTAATAGATGCTCAATATAGTAATTGCCCTGTTTTAGTGGCACATTGAAATTAATTTCAAAAAACATTAAATGAATGTTAATACTTCTGAAACAGCAGTTGAGAGATTTCCCTCGGGTAGTGAGGCAGGGTACCAGGGACATTCCAGAAGCAACAGACTGTATAAAGCACACGATTTTGAAAGTTTTATTCAAAGTTTTTTCTTTTTTGCTTGAGAGAATATTACTCTTCCATTAAAATGAACTGGTATGTCATGTGTAAAGTGCAAAAAATCATATTTTTAAAAATAAAATGAGACTTTAAAGAAATGTCCTGCTTATTCTTTGTCCCATGCCCAGGGAACACCCAGTTCACACTCCTGACCTTAGTAGTAGGTAGAAATAGTTGAGAAATAGTAAATAGAAAATAATTTAAATACTAAAATAACTTGTGACTTTTACTATGGGACAGTGAATGAATACAAGCCTTTCCCCTAGACTGCGAATGAGTTTGACTACAGCACTTTAGTATCTGAGGAGCACATGTGGAGTTGCCCAAGTCACAAGACAAGCCTCCCTTGCTGCAACAACCAAAGCATCTCCCTGCAAGACCCAAATCAGCATCAATTAAAACACGTAGAATTTTACTGACAATTCGAAACACCAGATAACAAAAGTTCTTGGAAACGAAAGGGTCTGACTCTAAGCGCTCAAGGACAGCGCTACAGCTCAAATGCGGGGAGAAGATTCGACACGGACTTACGCGTCTAACTCCTGCTTGTCAAACCCACCTGCTAATGGTGTTGACGAGGACTGCACGATCCCAGATTTACGCTATTGGGAGTCTGTGAGAAAGCTGTGGTTTCTAACACATCCCTCAATCTCTGTACCTTCTGAAAATCTCAAATGTAAAAGGTTATCTTCGCTTTCCTTAATGTTTAACTTTGCACCCAAACGTGGGACAGCGGTGGAAATGGTAATAACGTGAGCTTTCCTCCTGGGGCGCTCAGCAGGCAGGCCTGCGCCCTTCTGCCCAACTCAGTCCATCTTTAGTCGCCTCAGGTCAGGGTCCTCCTCCCTCCCCAGGACGTGCCGCAACGCTGGCCACTCTGACGCCAGTCAGACGGCGGACCAAGCTGGAAGGAAAGGCACGCGGGCAGCGACGGCGGGAACGCGGGCAGCGGATCTCCAAGGCCCGGACTTGGGTCTCCCACACTCAGAGCAGTCGCTGCGGCGGGGGAGACGATGCTGCCCTCTCCAGTCATCGCGAACACGAAGTCCCACCCCTCCTTGCCCTGTCACAACCGAAAGTCCCGTCCCGAAGCTCTCTGCACAATAAGGACACCACCGCTGTGTCACAGGCACTACAACGTCCTTTCCGCACCGCCAACAGCAGCCGCCGCCGGAAATTGCTCCGCCCCTCCCTCAGACGCCATGGAAACGAGGGGCTTACGCGGAGGATGTCCCGCCTCACTCCCCTCAGCGGACCCTAGCTCACAGCTTCCTAGGATATGCCTGCTTGCCCCAATTTTTTTCTCTTTGCAATGGGAACTTCCTCATATAGCGCCCTCCCTTATTCTCCTCTTTGAAAGTACATGTGCTCTCCAAGCAGTGAAACTGTTTCCACAGCTAATAATAAGGCGCCTAAAAGACAGCCCTACGGTCATGACGTGTACTTTGTGCGCCGACGAAGGAAGGACCCGCCTCCCCCACCCCGTTTTTGTGTGTTTTTGCATCCGGTTCAGTCGTCTCCTGTAGGTGGAGCTCTCCAAGGGGCACGTGCGCAGCTGCATGGAGCTGGTCGCTGGTTGTTACGAGCAGGTCCTTTTTGGATTCACTGTACACCCGGAGCCCGCGGCGAGCGGCGACCTCGAGGTGAGATGCCCCGCGCCGAGACACCGTCGGAGGCGGGACAGGGACTGTCAGGTTTGGTTCCCACACCGCAGAGGTGAACATTGGAGCGCCTGCTGCTCTCCCTCTGATATCTCCGGATTAATTGACGAATCAAACTCAGGGGACTCAGCATCTATAGCATCTATTTAAACCGTTTAAAACACGGGATAGGCATTTTACCAAAATGAGATAATAATGTTTGCCTATTATAGTAGACAAAAAGTCCACAGGGCACGAAGGTAGCGGACATTTATCCACACGGACGAAAGAGTCATAGATACGGATTTAAGGGTTGCTCCCATAAGTTGACTGCCAGTGTAGGTATTCAGCGTTTAAGGAAAGAACAATTCGCTATTTTGCTGAGTTTCTGTCCTGGAGTTTTACAAAACATTAGAGCTAGATTAGGATAAACCTCTCTTAGGTGAAGGAAATGATACTAATTGGTTTATTATTAATTGAGAACTGTGGGCTCGGCGATGCAAGTGCAAAGATGCCGGAGGTATGGATCTTGTACGGACGTTCCCGACATAAGGGGTGTAGGACTGAGAAGACAATACATGGAGAAAATTTACAGCAGAATACGATAAAAATTTTTACTAGATGTGTGAATAAAAAGGTTAATTGCCAGTAGTCAAATAGGTAGATAGTACTATACCCAGGGTTAGAAATCTGGTCTCCTAACTTCTAGCCAGGTACTGTTTTATTCCCTAAGCAATTCTAGGTACCTACTAGAAATTATATCTTAGTACAGTGCTTCGTTTTAAAGAAGTCAACATGTCAGTCTGGAATTAGCCAGAAAATTGGAAGTATATGACTTGACTAATAGTTTTTTTTTTTTTTTTAATTTTGTTTTCTACTCTAGTTATTTATCCTCTTTTGGCCTTTGGCTGAAAGGTGACATGTTTTGAATATTCAAGGATGATATTATTGAATTTGGTTTTTTGGTAGTAAAATTACTTACACATAATACACTTCACAGCAACCCTTTGAGACAGATACAGTTATTCTCAATTTTCAGATGAGAGTTTTTCATAGATAGGTTAATTGACTGCTCAAGGATACACAGCTAATAATTGGCAGAGCTGACGCAAGATGTCAGGGACCCCTGGTGTCTCTGGCACTTGAAGCTCTTAACCATTACCGAATACTGCTTCTAAATCTAGACAGTAGCCTCAATAACCAACATTACTTTTGCATCATGAATTAACAAAGGGTATTCTTAGATTTAGGGCTCTAGCAGCTCTTCAGGAATGTGTGCCTTGACACAAAAGAGGCTCCCTTGGTCCTAATTGATGGAAGGACTGTTTGTTGCTGTAGTTACTCGGGACTTAATTTGCAGTAACAAATTTTAAGTGTGTTCAGAGGAGTTTGGTGGGTTTTTTCTTTCTTTGGTTTGTTTTGCTGTCAT